CAAAATGACTATAATCTCAACTGTAGTAACCTATGACTGTGTAAATGTATCATTGTCATCATCACGATCATCATCATTGCACTGACTTTATGCATTAAGATATAGAATGGAGAATTATCTGGCCATAGACAAACATATTGTTGTAGTGTCCCAATCCATGCACCTTAAAGCATTGGATGATAGAAAGAGCAAGTCAAGCAAATACTCTAAAAATGCTTGCTGAGTGCAAATGTTTCATCAACACTCCCAAAATGTATCTTACTAGTTGCTTTATATATATGTCTCATGTTCAAAGTCATGTAATTTTTCATTAATATTTTTTTCACCTTATTTCTCATGTTTTTACCCCAAGTCACAATAATTTTAAATTTGAATTTCTTAGCTGCACATTACCCTATTTCAATTGCATATGTCACTGACAGGTTCTTTCAACACATTATTCCTAATTTTTATTATCTTTGTCAAGACATGCTGCTTTCTGGCTGAAATAGTTGTAGATATTTCTTCTAGTGGTAATGGTCAATACTGAAGTTCAATTAAAATTCAACATTTCAAATGCTAATATTCAAGTAAGGCAGTTTCCATTTGAAATATCAGCACATAATAATCTTTTCCTATCATACATGAACCTGTAACCAAATAGCTAAATATTGCAGGAAAAAGAAAAAAAAAAAATTTCTGTGAGTTTATTGATCTTTGCCCTGAATAATTTTCCTATACTTCTTCTATTATCTGTCTATATTTCTGAGATGAGGTATTATGTACATTATTTACATTATTCAGACTATTGTCCTCATCTTTGTCACCATATTTATTACAACATTTCAGCCGTTGTACACTCCAGCCTTCTTCAGGTGGTTGGAATGTCGAACTGAACCTTTTATTTCGCTCACTGGGGTAGACTGTTCTAGTTCCACGTGCCATGTTTAATGAATGTCAGTTATCAGTTATCTCCTGTTAATTTCCCTCTAAAAGTTCTCCACTGCCTTAATCGGGTATTGAACTCACAGACTTTGGGTCCTGTCACTGGATCTAACAAACACCTTTATCCACTGTGCCATGAAGTGGGTTCCATCACTGCTTTGTGGGTGGTGAGCATCACATGGTTGAGAGTGATGGAGCAGAGATTGGCAATGGTGGGGCAATTCTGTAGGTAGTATAGAAAATCCTAAAATGTTAGATAATTTTCTAGAATAATTAAGATCTCTAAAATGCTGACAGTAATTAATTGAGAAAATCTGGCTTGATATCCCAAACTATGGGCAATTGTGGAAAGATTACTGTGATCATTTCCGGCATTGTATTTAGTAGAACAATGTTTCAGTACAATTAATCATCTTTTAACTGAAAACAGAAATAGTCTTAGAATTGACAAAAGGGGTGATTCATGTCTTTTGCTCACAAAAATAGCATCAGACACTAACAGAGCAATAAGCCATCACAAAGCTTATCCATCACATTAGATATTTATTCTCTACCTATCAAGAAATGTAAAAATTTGACACAAATATCACTTTTTTATTTTATTCTTCTTCTTCATGTGCTGTGTCTCTCCAGAACATAGGCGATCATGGCCCTCCACAATTTCTTTGTAGCTCTTAATAAATTTGATCTTTGTAGAATATTGGTTAGCTTGCAAGTTGACTGGTGTAGTTACTTCAAGCTGCCCTTTTCCTGGGTGATTTGATGAAGAGATATGTGGGTGAATAGAGTCCACTCATACAAATGAGGTTGTGCAAGTCCATTCCAGCAAAGTAGATTAACCCAGCTGCTGCATTAGGTACTCTCCTATGAATGAGATAGAATGAGGAGATACAAGAAGGCAGCCATGTTAGCAGGTAAGACATTTGACTTCTACAATCTTTTTGTTGTTTCTCATAAAGCCTATTCTGCCATCTTAAATTCACTAAGTATATCATGCATTGTTTTCCTCTGTTCCTCTTGCCCTCAATCTTTCCTGTGAGTATCAGATTTTCTAAACCCTCCTTTCTTGTTATGTGCCTCAGAAAGTTCAACTGTCTCTTCCTGATGTTAAATATTAGTTTCCTTTTTGTTTCCACTTACTCATTTACTAGGTATCCCAAACTAAAATTTTATCTTCAATATATCTAAAAACCTTTAATACACACATAGCAATCTTGACAAACTGTAAAAAAAATGGCACTAAATTCATCTTGGTAGCTCAACTAGCAACAAAGTTATGACTATTCAAAGTTCATGAAAATTCAGAAAATTTTTATCTCATGTGATATTGGACAAAAAGCCAATTTTAACAGTGTATAACTGAAGATGCAACAAGTTAAAAATCATTATAAATTCTAGATAATCCTTTTCCGGTGGGATTATCCATAATTGTTGAAATCTATCATGTTTTTGCTCAACATATATGTTATATGCATTCTATGTCTCATCATCTTTGCACAGTTTCAGATGACTGAGTGGTATTGAATTCAGAGTTATCGCTCTCATCAACTGACTGCCAATCACAGCTCAAGAGTTGAGTGAGCCCTTCTATTTAATCCATAGCTGTGGGAAGAAGAAATGATTTTATACCTCTCCCAAATACCCAGGGTATTTGTGTGAAAGTCTTTGACTGGCACTTAATCAATACAGATACGTTTGCTAGTTTAAAAAAAATTTTTTTTACTTAGATTATTTACATTATTCGGACTGTTATCCTCATCTTCATTGCCATATTCACAACATTTCAGCTGTTGTATGCTCTGGCTTTCTTCAGGTGAGTGGAATTTTGAACTGAACCCTTTATTTTGTCCACTGGGGTAGATTGTTCTGGTTCCATGTGCCAATCCTTTTCTGGATGCCTCAGTTATTTCCCTTTAACTCAACTCTCCAAGTTTGGTTCACAATTGCTGTGGCCTGGTATTGAACTCACAACTCTTTGGGTCATGTCACTGGATCTAACCAATGTCTTTATCCACAGGGCCATGTGTCCTTGAGTTTTTATTTTAGTAGTACATTGAAACCTAGGTGTTCAGTGATTAAGTCCTCCTCTTTTCCATCCTCCTCCTCATCATCAGCATCAGTTTGATGACTGGGTAAGGTCATAGGGTCAATGCACAGCTGTCCAGCTCTCTCCACATGTCAATAAACTTTAGATTCTCTAAACTTTATTGTATATGGTTCTTAGATTAAACAAGTTTGATCACCACTAATTTAGAGATTTTCTGATATGACTTTGGAGTCACATGGTGCAATCATTTGCATTTAATAATGTTGACAAAGAGACAGGCAAACAAGAACAAAGAAATGATTTTCTTCAGAACTAAGGAAAAGAAATAAGATTTGGTGATAAAATTTTTAATACTCACACCTTTGTAACCATGGTTGGTAATCGGATAATGATGACAAGAACCACAAAAAATATCAACAACAAAGCCAAGCCAGCCCACTGTTTAAAAAAAGAAACAAAAATATTATTTCTTATTGGTGAATCAATGTGTAAAACATAATTCTGTCTATATATGAAATAAAATATATTAACATTTATTGGCATCTTGTACTTCAGTGGCTTTAATGCTTTGCTTGGGTGAACTTGATTAAAAAAATATATATACAAGGTGTGATGGATAAATTGTTGTCTAAATTACACAAAAATGAAAATAACACTGACATCTCATTTTAACAGATATATTTACCAAAATTGCACAAAAATATCTTGAAATAGTAAATTTATTCAATCAAATCGCCATTGGCTACAATCATGGCCTCCTGATGACTTCGGGATCTCCTGCAACTCTTTTGGACAGTTTCCTTGATTAAGTTGGTGAATGCTACCATAATCCTTGCCTTCAGTTTATCTTTGGTGTTACAAGGAGTTTTTGTTGGTCTCCCCACACATAATAATCAAGGGGGGGGTTACTGTCTGGGGAGTTAGGTGGCCAAATGTAAAGGGTGATGTGGTTGCAGAAATTGTCTGACAGACATGACTGGGTTCTCCTGCTTGTGTAGCATGGTGTAAAGTCTTGTTGTCTTCCACCAGCCACCCTCTTGACCCAGGCCAGCATTACCTCCTCAAAGCACTTGATATAGGCCTCCGTGTTGAGTTTGAGGCCCTGTGGGAATATGAATGGAGGCATAGCCACCATTACTAGACATCACTCAAACACCATAATGTTGCCTGGATATATCATCCAACTCTTTTTGAATCCTCTGCACTGTTCTCAGATTGACGTCCAAACATTCTAAAATATTTGTATTGGAACTTCCAGCATGAATGCCAAGCAATACAGCATGCCATTTCTAAATTTCTGGCAGAGTGAATTGCATCATGATGCTCTTTTTCTCATGGATGGTGCCCAACTAACCATACAGTCAACAAAATCAAAAACAAATGACACACACGCACAAAGTTAAAAATATAAAATAGCAACAATTTGCTTATCACACTCCGTGCGTGTATATATATATATATGATAAAATATAGTTTTAAGGTATGTTATCTTTATAGGTTAAAATGCTGAATATCAGGAATAGAATGTATGTAAGTATAAAAGAGGACATTGAAGCAGTGACAGTTTGTTTCACGCTTAAATGCAATCGTCAGGCCATATGTGTTGATTTTACTTGACTATTTATATATATAGGTCAGAGATGTATTGTAATATATATATAGGTAATCTATTGTATTGTTCTAATGGTTATTTTGGTGGGTGGTAACAGTTATGTTTCAAATTATTCTAGAGGCTATTGAGTGGAAATAACTGTGAATCTGGGTGCTCTTTTGTGGCAGTTTATAGGATTGTTTATTAACCCATTAACTTATTTTTGTTTAGTCTTCTATGTTCTTAGTTTTTTGTTTTTAAGTAACATAATAAAAATTTGTTTCTATGTTTGTATTTTGACATGAGTTCTGATCATTTATTCAGTAGTTTGTGTTGTTCTGGAAATGTACTTATAACTATTTTCTCTGCCAGACAGTTTTTACATTAACTATGCATGAACTAAGCATATCCTAAAAGTGCTTTAGGGAGTGTGCTGACATGAGGAGGATCTCAAGTGCCCATGAAAATGTTTCTTTGTAAGTCCCATCTAAGAGAGAAAGAGAGAGAGTGGAAATCCTGGGGAACTAAAGTTTCAGGACTAACGTCGAAAATCTTTTCATAAATTTATTTACTAACCTTGCTAAGCCAAGCAATATTTCTATAAAGAGATAATGGAAGTGTAAACAGAATAATGGATAATGCTATAACAAATTGCCGGTTCCCAAGCACCACGTATGTGAGGCCCTCTGCAAAGATATAAATAATTAGAATAAGTGAAAATAAAGGAAAAAGAAATCAGGCAAGTTTCGCAATATAAATAAACCATTGGATTTAAATAAGTCAGAAAGTGTAAAGACATTTATCACATTAGTAATGAATATGTTGATATCATTAATTCTTTCATATTATAAATATGTAAAAGTTCAGTTAATTCTGTTGGTCTGCAATTATTTTCATGGAACAGGTTATTTAGTTCATTCCTGACTTCAAACTGGACAAGAATTGGACAGAGATCCTAAAGTGGCTGCAGTTAATCTGCAGTCTTGAAGGAATCTTACCTTTAAGGAAATGGCTGAGATGTGCACTATATACATCCTTTATCAAGTATCACTACTCCAATGTACAAAATAAACTGAGCTAGAGAGAGCACTTATGAGGTAACATGGCTTCTATGTTGCATTGTCATCGTAATTTGCAGGTACATTTCTTAGGCTAGATGAGTGCACAAGATGGCAAAAAACAGATTTTGGAAAGATGCCTGGCTTTCTGAATGATGCACTTTAATTGAAGGGAGAGTTGCTGATTTTTCCCAAAATTAATTCTCCTTCTATTGCAAGAATCAGTAAACTCTAAAAGTCTTCTTTTGGGTAAAAAAACACTTTGGAATCTTTGAAACGTAGCTGTTGTACAAAGTAGGCATGTATGTGATGATCTGATTGAGGACCTTAGTCTAATGAAAAGAGTGTATTTTTCTCTATCATCTTAGGGACCTGGATCGAAATACCTAAATAATGACAAAAAAGCACCCTTCATTTGAATGGTAATTCAAACAGTACTCTGGAAGGACACAGTGTTTTTAATGGTAGACCAGACTCTTGATAAAATCCAAAGAAGAATCTGCAACGTTATTGGTCCTGAACTGGCATCTTAGCTTCAGTCCTTTCCCACTGCTGCAGTGTAGTTCTCTGTGCCTTTTCTATAAATATTTTCATGGTAATTGTTCTAATGTACTTTCCTCTTTGGTACCTTGAATTCATGAATGTAAACACAGTACTAGATTGGCAGCTAGGTTTCCTCATTTTACAGTTAAAATAGTTATATATAACCACAAGTTCTATGGGTACATGGCTGAGTGGTTAGAAAGTTTGCATTCTGATTATGAGACCTAGGTTCAAATCTCACCATGGTTGATTTGTCAGGAAGGAGACTTCCTGATGTTATCAGACTGGAGGGGTTGATCCCAGTGTGCGGCACCTTTGGAAAGTGTCTGAAAACCACACCACCGTTTGACCCAAGCCTTGTGATTGAAATTGGGTAGATTGAACCCTTAGGCCCATTGATAGCTATGCTAGCATGAAGTCACAAGTCATTGTGGCTGAGGGATTGAGTGTGCTGGCCTTGTTCAAATTGTTGATCATGCTAGATAACATGCTCTTTCTCAGAAACTGTAACTAAAGTCTGCTCAGCATAGTTGCAATATAAACCACAGGTGGGTGTTGAATAAAAACAAATGCGCCTGAGCAAGTGTCTGCAACAAGGATTGGCTAGCCGCCCTAGTAGATGGGTAACCTCAGATATGAGTGGCCAGCAATATACATACATAAACCACAAGTTCTATGTTAATAGTTTCTTCTCATGCACTTCTTTCTTGTGGAACTCTCTTCTGGTTTTTTGCTTTCCAGTCAACTTTGATCTTTAAAAATGTAAATGCAATGTCAATCATTATATTCTGTTTTCTTAATTCCTGTCCTTTTATTGTTCTCTCTCCTTAAAGTTTTTATGTTTGCCTATTATATTCTTTCACACACAATAACCTCTTGCATCTTAGTGGCTTTATTGCCTAGCTTGGAGTGAAATGAATAAAAGAAATAGGTTGTATGGTCATTGTGATTACATGGAGGAGTCTAATTTCTGTCAATACATGTGATCTTCTCTGTGCTGTGTCCTTTCAAGACTTGAGCAATCACAGTTCTCCACAGCCTCCTATCTCTAGTAGCCTTTAGCAAAATTTGTCCCTTTGCCAAACCTCTCACTCCTGATTCCATTTCATTTCACCATCCATTCACACAAGTTCGTCACCTGTTACTTTTCCCTGTCCCTTTTTCCTTCGATTTGATATGTCCTGTGAGTGTTAAATCCTCTAAACCCTCTTTTCTAATTATGTACCCAAGTAATTTCAGCTTTCTCTTTCTGATTCTGAGTATAAGTGTCCTTTTGATTTCCATTTTCCTTAGACTTCTTCATTGTTTACATGCTCTGTTCATGGTATTCCCAATATCCTACTATAGAACCATATTTCTGCTACCTCAAGTTTTCTCCGCATCTGTGAGGTGATTGTTTAGTATTCACTGCCGTATAAGATAATTGATATTACATAGCAGTTCAGCACTCTTTGTTTATAATGAAACTTTTCTGTTTCTTAGTACTTTGCTTAGCTTTTGTAAGGCACCTTTTGTACTTCCAATGTATATTCTGATTTGAGTATTGCACTTTCCATCCTCTGTTAATACACTTCACAGATATTTAAACATCTGTCCTTATTTGATCTTGACATCCATTCATAGATTGGGCTTTTTCTCTTGCTGACAACCATACATTCTGTCTTCTTACAGCTGATAGCTAGTCCTTTATTCTTGCTTTGTCTAGGTGATCCGGCAGTTTTTCTTCTGTGTCTGCCATCATCACAGTGTCACCTGTGTATCTTATGTTAAGATTATGCCCACCAATAATAAATCCTGGTAGAGTCTCCCACTCCCTTAGGATAGCATCGCTGTAGATGTTGAATAATTCCAATAAGAAAAACATATACATGTCTTATGCCCGTTTCAATTTTTATGTATTCACTCAATTCATTTTCTATTCATATGCAGGTGTATAAGGACTGGATTATTTGAACATCCTTTCCAAATAGATCTAGTTTCCCTAACAGATCAAATAGATGTTTTTGTTGTACTTTATCAGATGCTTTTGTGTAATCTATTGTATATCCTTCTGCCTTTTATTGCCTTCTCTGTTATCATTCTGGTCATAAATATATCATTTCTTATTCCATTGTCCTTAGTAAAACAATACTGTTCTTGTTAATTCTTCTTTGTTCATCAGAATTCAGATTATTAGCTTGGGTATGTAGCTCATTAGGCCGATTGAGCTCACATTCATTTGCATAACAAAAACTAATCTAATATTGTATATTTTATTGTAATTATATAGTTGTATTAAATTATGAAAAGAAAGGAAGTATGAAATATAAAAAATCATTTGAAAAATATATATTCATTCAATGTATGTATTTTTTGTTTGTGATATTTTTGCATAATGTATTCATATGGAAATGATATTGTCATCTTTAAAAGTATTATTGTTAACTAGAAATACCCATGAAAATTTTAGTTTTCCTATTTAAATTTTTTGATGAATCTTAATTTTTAAGTTAATGATTAAATAAGGTCATGATGAATTTTATGACAATAAAATATCTGTAGACATTATTAAATATTTGAGTGTAACAACAATAACTAAATATTGCAATAGCAATTATAACTATAAATGCTAGTTGTTATTTTATGAAGTAAGGGGGGTATAAATGAAAGATTTGAAATTGACAACTTTTTCTATTTCACTGAAACTAATTTTAAACAATTCTTCTCCCCTTCTTTCTTTTGTTTTCTCACTGAAACCAAGTAGCATCTGTGATATGTCTTCCATCTTTCCATCTAATCAAAATGAAATAGTCCATTATTTATGTAGTATTGGCAGGAGACATTAGACACTTCTATTTTCCCTTCTTTCTTTCTTTCATTTTCTCATTTAAACCAAGTAGCATCACTATCTTTCCACGTGATCAAAACAGAACAGTTCATTATTTATGAGGTATTGTCAGGAGGCATTAAACACATCTATCTTCCTTTCTTTCTTTCCTTCTTTCTTTCATTTTCTCATTGAAACCAAGTAGCATCTCTGATATGTCTTTTCTGTATTTCTACATGATCACAATAGAATAGCCCATTATTTATCTGGTATTGGCAGGGCATAATGGTCATGCAAAGTAAAGGAGGGACAAGTAGAATTATAATAAGATAATTAATAAAATACTGACCTGCACCTGTTAGTTCAGCAATGACTTTAGAGATTCCATCAGCTACAATCACGTTGTAACTGACCATTGCTGTAAAATAAAATGAATAGCTAGACAAGTTTGGAATTTTCATTCAAAACCTGAAAAGAATATTTTTAAATGAATACAACAAATTCTTAAATCTGTAATTAAAAGACGGTTTTATATTTTCAAATGATTTTTAATAATAATAATGGACATCATGTTGTATGATATTTCACTGAATATAAAACTCAGCATGCCAGGGTAGGCCAATATCAGCATTGGAAAATCTATAACTTTCATGGGAAAAAAACTGCAAAAAAATTGATATGAACATCACCCAGAGCTGGTCACAGACATAGGACCTGTAATAATTTTATGGGATTTTGCAAAACACACAGACAGAACAACCAAAGCCAACTGCTCAGACATAGTGATCAAAAGACCACAAAAATAGAATGTGCTTTCTGATTGACATGGCAATTTCTGCAGATTGTAATGTAGCTTTGAAGATCTTAAAAAAAATATCAAAATACAAAGATCTTGAAGTGGAAATCTAAAGCATGTGGCGCATGAAGACATCAATAATTGGGGACCTGGGTTTGATTGAAAAAGTTTCTGATGGGCTCATTGAATGAATTCCCAGTAATACATGAATACCTTAAAGAAATACAAAAAATTGTACTCACAAGTACAACTTAAAATTTACAAAGGGCTTTATCTATGTAAAATATGTGTGTTTTAGGCTTTATTTTTATGTTTTTTACACAAGTGTGCAGTGGAAAATGTCAGGATGTCATTTCTAACCTTATGTCTCTTGTTGGTATCCAGAAGAAAATTAGTATATAATAGAAATCAAAGTAAATGATAATAAATAACAATATTGCCTTGAAGTAATACCATGCATGCCATTCATAGCTTCTAATTTTAATTGATTGGCAGTATTACCATGAATATGTTTTGTCTTGATGAATTAATATGGGTCACAGTAAATATCCCATTCAGCACACCATGTTTATTTGCCTGTTACCTGACCATAACCAGTTCGGCATTTCCCATTGGAGCTGATGCACTGTACATCTGTTTTTATGGTTGAGAGGGTCACTATTTTTAAGTTTAAAGGATGAGACAACCAAGGCGATTTGGGAGTCACCTGTTTACCTCTCTACCTATCTGCCTTTTTGTATCTGTTTCTCTGACTATCTATGTATTTGCCTGTCTGTCTTTGCCTATCTACCTCTCTGCCTATTTGTGTATTTGCTTATCAGTCTACCTTTCTGACTGTATGTCTGTCTGTGTCTATCTGCCTACCACTGTTTGTCCATCTCTCTGCCTATCTGTATCTTTGCCTATCTGTCTAACTTTGTCTTCCTTTCTACCTCTGTGCCTATCTGTCTGTCTTTGCATATCTGTCTATCTTTCTACCTATCTATATGTCTGTTTCTATATATATCTATATATCTGTTTATGTAGCTGTCAGTCTGCATATTTTTCTATATGTCAGTCTATTTATCTGTATGTCTTTTCTTACAGTGATGGAAAATATAATCACAATACCATGAAGAACGATGCTGATTTTGACCAGGGTACAATATGCTCATGTTAGGGAGTTGGGGATACTCTGAGAAAAATTTTCAGTTTTCAACCATCTGATGACTTACTAACATCTATAACAGTGAACTATATGGGTTGGAGCTTTAAACAGTGGCAGATACTGTGATAAGGTTTGGTGAGGTAAAAGAATCTAGTGCAAGCAGATATCATGACATGGAAAAACACACATGATCCTTTTGTTCAATTAGTCATTTGAGAAGGGGTTGGATTGTCTGTCTTCAAAAGGCTGGATGGTCATTTTGTGGGAATTGCAGTGCATGTTGGATGTTACACATTGATGGTACTTTGATGTTGTTAACATTCTTACACTTGTGTTATATACCAGTGAACTGTTGAACTCTCAAATGTTGAAATCAGCATAAAATTTCATTACACACACACACACACACACACACACACACACACATATATATATATATATATATATATATATATATATATATATGGGTATAACAGCAAAATTGCCCAAATTGGGTAACAGAATGTGATAATTGTCCATACCACAAAATGTTTAATATCTAAAAAACACTAAACTAATTAAGTTTCCAGATTTTCAGATGAGATGTTTAGCCATTTTGACACCATTTTTCGTAAGAATCACTGAAAAACTTTTTGAGTTATTCAGCTAAAAAGAGAACAGGTTAAAATCGTTTTATATCAGACCCACTGTCTTCCCAAATGAGAAATGGTGAGAGGAAAAAGATCATTCAGCTCTTCAGTAATGGTTCCATCATTCATATACTGGCTTCCATCTTCAAAGTCCATTCAAAGACCATCAAGAGAATGGTGAATAAGTTTAAAAAAGAGAGAACAGTAGGGAGGAAAACTGGATGAGGAGGTCACAATAGGTAGAGGGATCATCATTTCAACTTAGAGCTAAAGTGATTAATTAGAAAAGATCCAACTCAATTCATAAGACGTTTGACATATGAGAGAGGAGTTTCAGCTATGGCAGTTCAAGGAGCAGTGAAAAAACTTGAAAATGAAATTGTACATGAAACCTGTAAGAAACCTTGTTACTTCAGGATAGAAAGTTAGAAGGTTAGAGAGGGCAAAGATCATCTTGAATAAGTTTCAAAATGATCCTGGAATAATATATATATATATATATTTGAACTTTATTTCAATACTTCATGAGCTTCCGATCCTTAGCTATGATTAATGATGAACATGTTATTTTCATTCATGATCGATTTCATCATGATTCTTCTGTTAAGCTTGGAAGGTAATTATACATTCTTATTTCTCAAAGTAGAGTCCAGTAGAGTTATAAAAACATCAGAAAATTCCAGTAAGATATCTTTAATCATTTCTAAGATACAATGGTTCAAATCTTAATCTAACAAATGGAAAATTTTGCTGTTACACCATTACACAGACACACACAGTGATGTACTTTTATGCTGATTTCAACATTAAAAATTATAATATAACTGAAAATATGTGAAAATTATAAGAATTTAACATATTTTTTCAGGGTAACATAATTTCTGCCAAAATTATGAGTGTTTTGATGCAAAACACTTGGGATAAGTCACTTGAAATTTTCTTTATATATATATATATATATATATATATAATTGCTAGCTGCTTGTATTCAAGGACACTCGTCTACTAGGGCAGCTAGCCAATCCCTATTGTAGAGGCTCACTCAGACACATCTGTGTTTGTTCAATACCCACAGAACCAACCTGTAGTTTATACGGCAACTATGCTGAGCAGACCTTAGTTACAGTTTCTGGGAGAGAGCATGTTATCTATCATGATCAACAATCTGAACAAGGCCAGCATGCTAAAACCCTCGGTCACGATAACTTGTGACTTTGTGCTAGCACAGCTATCAATGGCCCCCAAGTGTTCTGTCTACCTAATTCCACTCACAAGGCTTGGGTCAATCCGTGTTTTGTGGCTGAGTGGTTACAATGTTTGCTTTCTGACCATTAGGCCTGGGTTTGAATCTCACCATGGTTGATCTCTCAGGAATTGGATATATATATATATATATATATATATATATATATTTTCATACTACCAGTGATGAAAAAAAATATTATTTATATATAGTTTATAGCTCTGTTATAACACTGTTTTATTAACACCAGCATTCAATATGGATAATATATATATATATATGTGTGTGTGTGTGTGTGTGTGTGTGTGTGTGTGTGTGTGTGTGTGTGTGTGTGTCATTTATGTGTTTTGGCTACCATAACTTTAAGTTGTGGAAAGTAAGAAACAAGAAATATGCTACATAACCATTTAAAAAACTCTTTTCTATACATTGAATAATTTCATTAATTTACTCCATTTGTACCTTTTGTGCAGCATCTTAATGTTAGATGGTAATGGTGAAATTATCTGTTTCCATACAGAAATCAATCGGCATCCATTGACCAAACAATTATCTTTACTCTCAGTTTGGTTGAAATTTCTAAAATCTTTCAGGAAATTACATGTATCTATAAAATATATATAATGTACACAGAGGGATTGCTGAAAAGTTCTTGATCTCATCCACTTTCCTGAATTCAACCAAAATATCAAACATCTGATGTACTTTTTGTTTTCCTTCTTAGATGTATAAATAAATAAAGAAAAATATTTGTTATAAACAGAAATGATTCTCTTGTAATGTTTTCTCAGAAATGTTTCAGATTGGTTTAAAGAAAAAAAAAACCCCGAGTATTATAAAAAAAAAAAATTATCTTTCCTCAGCTCTCCCTTTTTCTTTCATTGTAATCCAGCTTTTAACTTGGACTGTTTTTACTCTTAGATGAAACAAACTGAAAATATTTTTGTAATGATTAGCAATTTCAAAAACTGAATCTTTTTTTTCTTTATGTGCTATGTTCCCTCAGGAATGATCATGGCTCGCCATATCATCCTGTCACTTGTATTTCTTAATAAACTTTGTCTTTCTTTTATTTCTCCAAGGCCCTGTTCCATCATCCATTTCCTCAGGCTCATTAACTATGTTATGTGCTGTTTTCTTTTCCCAAATATATTAAGGTTGCTGAGCAGTTCCATCAGATCTTTGTGACGTACTTCATTAAATACCTTTTGGTAATCTATAAAACACAGATACAGGTCCCTCTGCATTTGTATTGCTCTTTCTGATAACATTCTGAGTATAAATATCACGTTCACTGAATCAGTAAATCAAATTCTAGTACCAGTCATCAATGTGTTATTTTCACAATCCTTGGTAAAGGCATGAACTCTAATTTCACTTTGCTGTTTTGTTTATAGTCAAAAGCATATTACATTTGGTAAATATTTTAACAGACAGAAATCAAAAAATCTCAATTGGTCATGTTCAAACAATGGAAGAGTATCATGTGCCAGTTTCAGACATTGCTGTGAACCGGAGTTCAGATTGCTAAACTAAAAGGTTAAAGCTGTTTTAAGTACATGAATCATGACAACTTCTCATATTTATTTCACGTGTTCTTTTG